GTGTCCGATGGCTACCTGTATATCTTCTTTTGAGAAGTGCCTATTTATTTCTTTTGCCCACTTTTTAATGGTGCTGTATGTCCATATATTCTTGATTCACTAATAACTATCTTACATCTCTACAATTCTTCCATACTTTAGCTATTAAGCTATTATCTAAGGGTGGCCATTTTTTATGTCTATTTCATAATGAGTGTCAACTCCCTATGCCTATATGACATCTAAATTTAACTTATTTTCTAATGCTAACACTTCTCTTCTTTGTAAATCTTTTATTAGTACCATATGTTTTACCAACACTTTAAAAAATCTCTGGACAGGATTTAGGTATCTTGCTTTCAAGTCCAACTTATTTCTCTTCTCATAAATTTCTTAGTGATCATAACTGATCATTCTTTTTTCCTCATGTTATTATTTTAGTCATTTAATCCCAGTATTGATTGGTTCATGAAATACAGACAAACTTTCTTTCTCTTCTTTTATTATTCAAAGTCCAAAGAGCACTATTCCAGGGATTAAGAAGCATAGAATTACGCACCAGTCTCATGGAGATATGCTCATGTAAATAAAAGCTACATAAAATGAATCCTGGGGGGCAAAGACAAGGACAACGATTCATTCCTAATACAGTGAACACCAAATACACACACACACACACACACACACACACACACACACAGAACTGACTCTGCTTGAGGCTATTTCTAAATTCTGGGAGTTATAATTTTTAAATTATTCACAGTCACACTGTTGACAATGTTAAAATCAGAAACATAAAAGAAATTAACAATCTCATTTTATGGACAGTTGGATAGACTAATCATACATAAAAGAAAAATTTACCACATGGCAGGAATGGTGCTTGCTACACAAGTCCCTTTTGAGAGCTAACGCAGGAGAAGATTTTTTGGTTGGCAAGTCCACATCAAAAGGTAGGGCCAAACAGTGGCCGAAGAGCAAGTTGAGTGGCTACTTTTGGGAGTTCACAAGAGGGAGGAGTGATGAAGGATCTAGTCTGGGACTAAGAAATAGCCCAGGTGTTTCTTAACTTCTTTAGACACTTATATCTGGCTCTTAATACCAGTT